TACCGTTTGGTCTCCACACATCCTCCGGCATATTTCAGGCTGCAATTGACGAAGTCATCCGTGGACTCGATGGCGTGTTAGCGTACCAAGACGATGTCATTGTATTTGGCACAACGAAAGCCGAGCATGACGATAGACTTCTCAAATTACTGGAGCGGTTCGCCCAAAAGAACTTGTCAGTTTGCGCCTCCAAATGCATGTTCAGCTCACCAGAATAGGAATTCTTGGGTTTTACAGTAGATGCTAAAGGCTATCGTCCTGATCCAAGTCGCTTCCGCCCATTGACTGAACTCGAGTCACTAAGAGATCAAAACCAACTCAGATCCATCATGGGATGTCTCCAATACTATTCGCGTTTCATCCTGAACTTCGCCACAAAAGCCCAACCACTGTTTGCTGCTCAGTTGACTGCAGAATGGAAATGGACTACCGAGTGTGAACAAATTCTGCGTGAAACCATTCGGATGATAACTGACCGACCAGTACTCGCCTCGTTCTCTCCGACAAAACATCTAACTTTGATCACCGACGCATCAGATGTTGGTATAGGTGCCGTCCTCGAACAGAACGGATGTCCGATTGTCTGCATCTCCCGTCTACTCAACAAAGCCGAACGAGGATATCCGCAGACGCAAAAAGAAGCACTAGCTGCATATTGGGCCGTCCGTCGTCTACACAATACCTGTTTGAATTGCGTTTCACCATCGTAACCGACCATCAAGCGTTGCAATATCTATTCAGTCCGCTAAAGTCGATTTCAAAACCGACGGCGGCGATGATTCAGCGGTGGAGCATTGCATTGGCGGCGTACGACTATGACTTAGTGCACCGTCCGAGCAAAGCAATTCCCCAGGCCGATTTTCTCTCGCGGTGGTCCCAATTCTCGGAGGCTAAGAGGTGCCATTTCATTGCTACTGCTGCCCCGGTATCCCGAGAGGAGTTGCGCCGATGTACCAAAAGATACTATGCAGAAATCATAACGGCTCTATCAAAAGGATGGCGTCCCGACCTGAAGCGGAAGTTTGCAGCTTTCTATGCACACCGCGAAGAACTCAGTGTCCAACCTGACGGAATACTATGCCGCAACGATCGACTGATCATCCCACCTCCGTTACGCAAGGCTGTACTAGACGACCTACACAAAGGCCACTTAGGGGTGGAGAAGATGAAGTCGTTGGCAAGACAGATGTGTTGGTGGCCCGGTCTAGATGAAGACATTGGTGGCACTGCTAAGAACTGCGAAGCATGCCTACAAAAGCTGAAGTCGAAACCGAAGAATTGGGTCCCATGGCCAGAAAGCTGTATACCATGGCAACGTGTGCACGTCGATTTCTGTGGGCCATTTCTCGGCCATTAGCACGCACTAGTACTTATCGATTCCTACTCCAAATGGCCTGAAGTGTTTCTAAACAGCCCACCGACTACGTTGTTTGTGATGCGAGTACTACGAAAGTGTTTCAGTCGAGAGGGTGTGCCTCAAGTGTTGGTGACTGATAATGGATCGCAATTCTGCGCGGCGGAGTTGAAAACGTGGCTGAACAGTATTGGATGCCGACATCTACGCACAGCACCACGTCACCCCTGCTCAAACGGCGCAGCAGAAAATTTGGTGAAAACAGTGAAGAGTGCCATTTCCTCTGCAAATCCAAGGACAATTGTCGAGTTGGAGATACTCCTAGCCAACTCCCTACTGCAATACCGGAATGCTGCACCTGCGACCACCAAAGAGAGCCCAGCAAAACTGTTCAAAGCCAGAAGCTTACGTTCCTC